TACAACTGATAACATTAATTTTTGATTTTTATCACTAAAAATGGAAATTATAAATAAACTTTCTTTTCTTCAAAAAATACTGTTTTAATATTAATACATTGAATTTATAGCAAATGAAATTAAAATCCAATTGAAATGAAACATTTTTACGATTTATAAATTTCAATTAATTTTAAAAGTTTTCTTAATGAGTCTATGATAAATTATCCTGAAATAGTCATTTATGGTAATAATGCAATTATACTTCATTATAACAACAGTTGTGTGCATCTTTCTTTTGTTATACGATCAATTTACATTTCATTATGTTTAGTAAATTAGAAAAAATAATTTAAAATCTTTCTAAAAAAATATGTATATATAATTATGTTATTAATACAAAAAAATATACTCATATATGTTTTTTAGAAAATTTTTGAATTATATGTAAATATTAAATATATGATATATATACAATAAATAAATATATATGTAAACCTTTTCGAATGGATTCAAAAATCAGAAATCCTTATGAAATAAATCACTTTTAGGTAAAATGAAATTTTCGCATATAATATATATTTTATCAAATTTCGACTATTTAAAGTGATACGAGAAATGTTTTGTTTCGTTCTTCTCCGTCAATTTTTGCTACGAAACATGCGACAATTCCGCTTACTTTTTAAAAGAAAAATTTTTTGCAAAAGAAGAATGAAAAAATTCACATTTACACCTTTTTTTGATTTTATTTTCAAAACGAAACTTATCTTTGAATATGACTCATTTATTTTGTGTATTTATTCATTTCTCAAACATATTTTCGACCTATTAGTGTGATTGAATAATTGCACATTTTATTTATGTTAATATTCAATACTTTTGTTTAATCTAATAAATTTTGAAATTTTATAATTTCCTTTGTAAATAGAATTTAAGTAATATATTAATTAGATTATATTGTTAATAATGACTTCATCATTCTTCAAAATAACTATTAGAATGAATTAGTACTGTTGCTTCATTAATTTGATAAATAATTAGTGTAATTAATTTGCCAGATTTTTTTAAAGCTTATAATCTTATTCGAACTATTTTTACTTATTCAAATTTGATATTTCTTTCGTTATTTTACTCCTTTCAAAGTTCTCGAATTAAAATGTAAGCTTGAATTGAATAAGAATGATCTGTAAGAGAAGTGGTCACTTCTTGTTGTTGCAGTAAACATGCATACCATCAATTGCCAAATATTTTAATTAATTTCTTACCTAATTTATAAATTTATTTTAGTAATTTAGTACGCAATCACTTAAGTTTTAAATTATTTATTATTTAAAATTTATGTCAGCTATTATTGAATTAAAGGAATCAGAAAAATTTATTCAATTTTAAAATAAGAATTTGTTTAATTAAACAAAAAAAGAGAAAGAAAACAATATGAAAAAAAGGAAACATTTACAGTAAGCAAGACAAATTATCAAATTTTTGTTTATTTTAATTTCATTTTAATTTAATAAGAAAATGAAATGAGTGTTATAAATTTTTATTAATTGCAAATTATTCTTACTCTATATATTATTGTTTGCTTTCATATATAATTTAAATTCTAAATAGCATTTCTTTGAATTCTTGAAGTCACATGTATTTTCATGAAATTATGCTTATTTAATTAATCAAAAAAAATTCATTTTAATAGTTATTAAAAAAATTCAAATAATTCAAAAGCATTGAACTGAAATTATTCCTGAAACATAAGAAGGAATCGGACGTTTTGCCATTTATCCTGTCTGTGTAATTTGAAGTAACCGAAGTTTCGGAAAATTTCAAAGAATGTAAAAATTCGGAATTAAAACGATACATCTCTATAATCAAACAATGATTATCTTTCAATAAAGATTATAAATTGAAATTTATGAACTACAATTTTGATACGTTATTCAAGTGTTTTTGTATTTATAAAAGAAAACAAATAGTAATAAATAATAATTCCTATAGTAAAATTGTTATAGGGAAAATAAAAATTTGTTTTTCAGACTCAATAAGTTGAATTTCACTCAAAATTAATTCCTTTGTTTTCTTTCATCCCTTATAAAAGAATATGTTTATTATTTCATTTTAATATTTTGTAATATGTATTGGTACTAATTAAAATAAGATATATGAAATTAATTTAATAAAATAATCATTTCCGTTGGATAAAATAATTAAATGAAATGAACAAAAAAAAACTTTTATTTATTTCATTTTAGTTGACAATTTAATATTTTTCGAATATAAATTTTTTTCTTACTTTTTCTTCTTCTCTTTTTTGCTTCGAATTAAAAAGAATTTCATAAAAATTGCAAATTTCACAAATTTAAAGACTGAAAAAGAAAGGAAGAAAAGGAAAAGGCAATAGAAAAGTATTGAAAATGACCTTTACTGTTCCAAAAATAATTTCAAATTTTAGATAATAAAATAGGTAGCCATCAACAACACACTTCCATTTCCGCTGCATTTAATGAGTTTCTTAATTTGTTAAATAATTTAAATCGAATTTGGAAATTTAAAAGAAAAATACATAATTGTCAAATGCACTAAGAAAAATTGAACGAAATTTGCAATTAAATTGAAACGAATAAATTTACTCAATGAAATGGCAAAGTTTAAAGAATTCTTGAAAATGCAAACTTTGAAGAGTTGGCAATGATAAATACATTCATAATTGATGAAAAGCAAGGAAGGAAGAGATGTTGCTTATCTCTGCAATTGAAAAAAAGAAAACAATTTTTTAATTATTATGATAGGTAAAATTATTAAATAATAATTTTAGAAAATTTAGTCAATCATTTAATCTATCTCAATCTGAAAATTTAATCTGAAAACTCGAGAAATGCAATATGGTATTATTACCAATATCGTATTATTGTTATTATCGTATTAATACCGTAGTATTATTACCAAAATATTTTGACTATTAATAATTTTCTCATTCATGCACAAATCTTTTGAATTTTCAAATTATTTGTAATATCAACGACTGTTTGAAAAAAAATAAACATGTGCCATGTTTTTCTAATAACAAATTCATGAAAGAAAATAAAAGCTGAATAAACAACTAAAATTGAGATGTATAAAATTATTCGAAAATGAAATTTTAATTCCATCTACAAAAAACTGACCTAATTAAAATTTACTTTAAAAAATATCTGACAACAATTTATTCAAAAATATTATTTAGTAAAGACAAAGACGAGGAATTATGTATGTTATTTTTACCTAAGTATGCCGTATATATTAAATGCAAAAGGAAATAATAACAAAAAATATATATAAACAAAAAAAATATTATCTCTAATGATTGTTTGAAATTAGATTTGAATTAATTAAATTCAATCAATCCTAATTAAACTTGCATTAATTAGAAAATTTATCACTTATCAAAAATTTAACTTAATTTCTTAAAAATTGAAACGAAAAATATTTAAATTAAAAATAATATATATGAAATATTGCAATATTATTAGTAATGATAACAGTAAATGATATAATATTTTCAGCTCTTACTATTATTATCTGTTAGTCATTTTTATGATCTGTTACAGTTAAAGTGTATAATTATCCCACAGATAAGAAATGATATGTTTATATTAATTTTCTGCGATACACAATAATATAACTTAAGATATGATAAGATAAGGAGATATGAAATACTAATACTTTTTGTATAAATAAAATTTTTGTTGCAAATTAAAGTAAATATTGCTTTTAATAATTGAAGATTTTATTAATTATATGCAATTTAATAAATTTAATTTTATGTAATTTTCAAGTTTATGTGAGAGGTCTGAAATAATCGATTGGTTCACTAAATTGTTTGATTGATTGATTTATTATGAAACTTTAATTTTTAAATTAACACTTCAAAAATTTAATTTAATAATTTGCTTTTTGAAATTTATATTTAAAAGAGAAATCGGTGCAATTAATACATTTACTTGGCAACAAATCTGAATAGTCAATAAAATGATTTAAGAAAAAATTTCTGCTAATTAAAGTAAAACACTGTGGATGGAATAACGCGCCAAATTATGCTTAATTGATAAATTATATGACATTTTATTGATTAAACTGTAGATATAAATAAAATTGTAATTGTTTTCTAATGTCGGAATAATAATCGGAATAGCAGCCGGATAATTGTGCTTTTGATACGGAACAATAATCAATTTTTCCGAAAATTAAAGATATTTCCCATTTTTTCCAAAAAAAAAATATCGTTTTTCATCACTTCGCAATAATGTTGATTCATTCATTTATTGGTGAGAAAATTAAAGTTAACCAAAACTGTCAAAAATTGTTAAACAATGATTAATCATTATTAATCATTTTATTATTAAATCATTATTGATCATTATATTACGGATTTTTTCCATGTATATTTTAATGAAATTTTGCAAATAATTTTAAAAGTAAACTTTGTTTTCATACTTTTTTCATTATGTCAATGATTAATTAACAAAACGATGTGTTTGATAGTTATCCTTATAAGTAATATTAAAAAAGTCTTCAAGAAATATCATATTCTTAGATACGAATAGGATATTTGTAAATAACGTAGAATTTTGAATACTCGCGGCATTTGATGTTATTTTATGAAATCACTTGTAATATTCGTAATAAATTCGTAATATTCGTAATAAATTCATAATTATCATCAAATATTCGTAATAAATTAACTTAAAACATTGCCCTTCTTTAAATATACGGTTTTGATGCGTTTTTTTGAGCAGATAGCTATTCTATTGCTGAGAGCAATTCAATTTGAAACTTTCTAATGGGCTGGAAATTTGTAATCCAATAAACTAATTAAATTTCAAGACAAGTTCAGTCATTTCGATAATCTTACAAAATCTATTTATTAAGTTTCATTCGTTTACATTCACATTTAATTTTCTAATTTTTGCAAAAACCATTATATGTTTATTTTAGGAATTTTAATGATTCAAATAATTATCATCACATTTTTTTGTTATTTCTTCGTTATGGCCGAAGAGCAGAAGGAATTGAAAGGACTTAGAAATGTTCGCATTTACATTCCAATCAACGGATCACAAACGATTGATTTTGGATTTAAAGCTCGCAGTGCTTTTGCATTTTTTCCAAAAAGTGATGAATTTAATGAACGATCGATGATGCTTATTCGAAATGGACGCTTAGTTCGAGAAGGGGTACTGCAATTGTTTCACCTTACCTCTTTTAATGAATTAATTTTTGTTTCGGAATTAATTTTTTTAATCTAGGTGAAATTTTATGAAGGACGTGTGCATTACTCGCATGGTAAGTTTCGCATTCGAGATTTTCAAGAGCGTGATACAACGGTGCTATTTTTTGAAGGACCGAACAATGCACCACAGAAGTATTCTATTGAAGCAGAAAAAGATTAATAATATTTAATAGTCTATATCTTTGAGTAATTTTATTGTTCATTTTTATTTGTATTTATAAAACAAAGAATAAAATGTATGGCGTAAGAAAATAAAATTACTCAAAGATAATAAAATTACTAGTCTATATTCTTGAGTAATTTTATTATTCAAGGATTATTGCCAACCTATGTAATGCAAACATTTGTAATTATTTTAAAATTGTAATTCATTACAAACATTCGTAATTATTTTGTAATTATTAAAATATGATTTATCGCACAAAAAACAAAAATACACACAAAAAAACCACATTTTCAACAAATGTTGACTAAGTACGTAAAACTGGAAATAGTAATTCTATTATCAACTGCATGATGCATTTATTTCATTGAAATATCGGTGGTTTTACAAAATTAGCTATTTTACACCACGAAAAGTAGCGAATTTGATAATGCATCAAACTTCTGCAGTTGTCAGGTAGTGCAAAATTTTTTTAACAGTTCAATGTTTATGTCTTGTCCTGAAATAATAGTATACACCTGTAATATGTAATACACAAAGAAATTTTGAATAAGAATGGTACAGGTAGAAGGTATAGATGATACCCTAAAAGTTTTAATGCAATGATTGTGTTATATAGTAAATATCTATATTTATATATAGATATTTGCTCTACAAATAAAACCTCACTTATAATTTAACAGACGTTGAAATTCGTAACATCATCGCGCATAAAACTGCACTGCAAAATTATCATTGCAAATTTACAGTTGTCAGGATAGAAAGCTATCTAACTTTAAATGACATGTATTCATTTCTTTTCCGCTAATGGTTCATTTTCATGGCTTGTTATTAGAAAGGCCAATTGATATTACAAAAGACGTGGTACTTCCGAAACTTTTTAAATATTTTGTGCAAAATAATGATAAAATATCCTCATCAAAAGCTGGCAACCGTATATTGGTTTAAAGTGTTTATAAAGAAATATTTTAAACGATTTTATTTTTACAGCATTGCTATCAAGATATTTCAAAGTATTTTCATAAAATATCACCGAAAAGCTAATATGTTTAGTAGTTTTTGCAAAAAAAAAAAAAAAAATTCCAACAGTTACTTCGGAGACTCTTTGTGAAATCCAAAACTTACTTTCAAAAGCAGCAAAAACTTGTAAGATGTTCTACCTGAATTTTGTTTGAAGACTGCAAAAGAATGGGTCCAGTACCATCTAACAGTAATAAGACTGGATAAAACAGGATGAATGAAAGTTATGTAGTGTTGTAAAAGACATGACATTTCCCAAACATTCAACTATTTCACGTAAAATGACTAAAGAACCGTCCCTATTCCTATCATTACATAAATATTTATCTTCGAAAATTATGCATTATGTATTTTCAAGCAATTTGTGATTATTTAGAAGAAAAACCAAATGTCGATTTCTTGACACTTCCTATATATTCATGTTAAAAAATGGATATCAAATTTAATGCAGTCAAGAGACAGTTAACTTCAAACATCCATCCATGTTAACCATTTCTAAAAACTTTTACTGATAATCTTTCGGTAAAAAAATTGTCGCACTATCTACTGGTCACATTTGGATAATTTTTTCAATCACTGATACAACAATTTGCTAGTTTAACCAATAATATTGAGGCCTTGAATTCGGAATTACAGAAAGATATATCAACCAAATAGTCCTTACGGTATATCAAACTATTTGGATTGGTTTCTTTGGTTTCTTTGCAACAATCCGCTACATTATAATGCTGTGTTAGTATAATGCCCGGCAATCTGCCGAATCTGTTAAACCAATTTCTCTTATCAAATACTTGTCTTCTTCAGCGGTTACTATTACAGTGCTATAACTTATTTTTAGCTTATTACTATATAACAGTGCTATAATCTAAAAGTACCCGAGAATATGCAGGAAAATGTTAATGCATTTAACATACTTCTAAAGTTTTTCAAATTTCGATAATAAAAAAATACTTCCATAAGTGCATAGGTATGATTAATAATAAAAGTGCTGCAATGTAAATTTAAAGAACATTAGCCCTAATCGCCAATAAGTGAACAATCGTTATGATGCTTGCAAAAAGAATATGGTTGAACAAAACTGTTTAAGAGGACGAATGTTAAATTTAAACTCTGACTAAGTTATCATAAAGTCTCGTAAAAACTTTTTAAAGAACCGCAAAAATATGCATTTGATAATCACTTAATTGATTAAATCACGGAGAAACTTTATTTTGGAACAATAGAGTCGTCCATCAAAAAGATATGATATAATATGTAACAATTTAAGTGCACATATGATCAATACAGCTAGTAATCATAAGTTCCAGTAATTATTTAAGTTTTAGCTCTTGCGCATCCTACTAAATTTTGTGGTTCAGTTGGTGGTGTTATGGCCAACGAGTTTAGTCCGCTGAAAATATATGGACTTTGAAAATATGTAATTCCCATAGTTCCAAAAATCCAAACTGATCTAAATATAAGAAATCAATGCAAATACCAAAACTATCCACCTTTTTTTTCCTCTATTATCCTCTCCTTCAAAAATCCCGAGAATATCAAGAACAATTTTTTAAAGTCCATTCCTTAGAAGTCTTGAGAAGTTTCAGTCCAAGATCATGTTTTTGATATCTTGGAAAAGCATGACGAATAGCAGCTCATAAATGTTGCTTCAAATTTCGGTGAAGCTACTCATTATCCCTATTCAGTTTATAAATTCAAAATATACCTTTCCTTTTGTTCATCTGGAGTTTTTGACACAGCTCCCATATTTCGTAAAGGCGTAGTTATTTGAGCAGTCCAATTTGTCTGGAATTTGTCAACTATAAAAATAACACTTAGAAAGTAATCAACAACATTAAACGAAGAAAAACCTATAATTTCTAAAAATTCATTTTCCTTTTCTTTAAAAGGTTCCACTAAAACTAAAACAATTTTTTCCTTTTAAGCAGTAAAAATCCTTCAGTTGGTTTTTAAACCGTATAATAATTTAAATTAGCACACCACTCCTAAGACACGCGGATAAACCGTCGGTGTGGTATTTCCATAAGTCAAATTTGATTGCTGCTGTGATGGACTAATGATGGGTGATCGTCGGTATTGAATAAGATCACTGATTACTGAAAAAATACATCTCAGTTGTTAAAGAAATTCAGAAAAGACACTCAAAGAATTTTTCCTTGGAAATATCCAAAAAATAACAAATGTGCTGCTGTACTTATTAACTAGTGAATGATTAGTTATTCGGACTGCAAGAATTAAACAACAGAATATTGACATAATTTCCTGAGGACTGTTATCCGCCACGTAAATCTATAGTACATAAATCCGAATATATCTACACGAACTAATGCTATCGAAAAACCTTTCTGTCCAGTAATGTTGCATATAATTGCTCAGATATTTTACACTTTTTGCAATTCAAGAATTTATCAGGTCATACGATTTAAAAGTATTCATAAAAAGGTGTCGTCAAGCAAAGTGAAGACACACGTGTTTCCTTTTTTTCACATTTAATTCTCCACATTTCCGCATCTTTCTTTGCTCGTTCACACTCCGTTGACAGATTTTCTAGCTGCAAAAAATGATTTAGGAAATATATCAGTGATTTACTGGAATTTAAATGAGATGTATATAAAATGTTTAATAATGTTTACAAGTGGCATATAAAAATCGTGGAATAATTTGCGCCGCCTGTATAATGGTATGGAATAATCTGTTTTTATAGAAGAATAACAGATGATGAAACCTTTGCCCTAAGCTGTGTATTTGAATCAGTCAGAGCATCAATAGTTCTTTTACGTTCTTCCAAATCTTTTTCTATATCATTCATTTTTTCATTCGTCATTATACCATCATCAGTAGCAACACGACGAGTTTTTTCCTGCAAAAGAAACAAATATTTTTTTTTCGAATATTTTTATCGGCAGTAATAAATACATCTAGAGAGTTAAGATTTTTGTTACGTATCTCACAAACATGTTCATCGTTGCAGTGTATGCAGTCTCTTATATATAGTCTGATGGATTCTCTTCTATAAATTTACATACTACTCACGATTAGATCTCTTCAGTTATTTCTTTACTCCATCCTACAACAACTATTATTTTCTTCATGAAAAAATATTAAACAACAGCGTTTCAATAGCTTATCTTCACTCAAAACTATATGACAAAAAAGTATGTGATAACACTCCAACAATTATAAAAAATGATTTCTTTTCTATAAAGAGTAAATTATGAACGATAAGAACTTACGCTATATAATTTTTTAATAATCGAAACAGCTTTATCATGCTCACTTTTCCAATGATTTATCTCTTCGTTAACAAATTGTAATTTCTCGCGTAATTCCTTATTTTCTCTGTCAGCATCATCTATTGCATTTTTCAGATTACGTATCTGCACTATACGGCTATGCGTTTCTTCATCTCTGTCATTTAGTTCCTGTTGCAATTCCTCTTTCTTTTGTTCCAAATCACGTAGTTGGTTCTCCTGAACCGAAACTATTGTTATCAAAAAATTAACAACTAGTAATCTGTTGAACTACTAACAAAAATACTTGAAATACCTGTGGATAATGAAGGCTTAGAATCCATTTATTTCATTTTAGTATCTACAAATAAGGCTTATTTTGTACTGAAAATATCTTTTTTATACACTCCAAACTTGAATCTGGGATCTACCTTTCGTAGATAGAACCAACAAAAAATGGAACCCAGAACTCATTTCACTTTTGCTTCTAAACTTTTTCAAAATATGCATTGATAAATTGCAGCATTATTTACAATAACTATTCTTACGCGAATCGCATAATCAGCTAAGAAAATGAAGCAAACATACGGAAGTGTCGAGTTCTTCCGTTAGGACATGCACTCTATCTTCCAACTGATTAACTTGTTCAATCAGATCATCAATTCGATCACGAAAATCGACTACTTCTTCCTTTAAAGTGCTCACCTCTTGTGTAAGCATCTAAAACCATATAGTGTAAGTTGAGTTGTGATATTAGTTGACACGGCGAATTTGCTGCAAAGCAAATTTGATAATGCAAATATTACGAAAAAGCCTGCAAATAAAAAATTGATACTTGTCTATCTGCCTGAAGTTCTTCGTTCAACTCTTCAAGTTTATGCTTGCTTCCAATAATCTGAAGAATAAAAAGACATGAGATTACTGGGCAGAAACCGAGAAATAAATTGTGTCAGCTTGAAAAATATGATGAAATCTAAAATTAATCGAGTGCAAATAACTCCAATGCATGATGACCGTGCATTATTCAAGAAACAATTAACCCTCTTTCCTTTCTTCTTTTTCTTTCAATAAGCAAAAGCATTGTTAATTAAAAACCAATATTTTTTGATTTAAAAAATTAAATCATTACTTCATTACGCTCTTCTTCCCACTTCTGCAAACAATCTGAATGCATCTTTTCTTTTGCAGTTAGTGAATTTCGCAGACTTCTGTTTTCCTAAAACAGATTCAGAGCCTGATGGAAAACTTCGCTCCTGTTTCACCATAATTTAACATCATTTAGATAAAAAACAGCAAAAAACATTTTCAAAGTTGGATCCATTGAGCACAATATAATACTGGCCAATACCCTAATCACACTAAAGGTAAGATAAGAGTAAATTCATTTTTTTCTAGCTTGAATTGAGATAACTAATGTTCAGAACTAGAGTAACGAAGAGATTAAGCTGGTAAAAAAGGTACATCAATAATAAATATCGCATAAGTCCATACTTTAGGTTTAAGACCCCCAAAAAAACGAGACCCTCGAAACTTTCACAAAAACGTTTCATGATCTAAGCAAATATTTTGATGATGTGAAAACGATGTTAACATACCGCTTGTTCCGATGATAACGAATCACGTAATGTATCTAGCTCTTTTAAATACCCCTGAAAATTGAGCAAGGGAAGAATGTGACATAAGATGAAATATAAATATATTAATTCATGGCTTTGCTGGGTTTCTGTCTGAATGTTGTAAAAAACCATAAGAAGTCTATCTACCCAATCACAAAAAAAGTCAATGCTCACCTTATATTTCACAATTCTTTCAACAAGATGCGTTATTAAAGCTTTATCAGTTACTCTCTGAAGAGGTAAAGAAAGAACTGTAACCCATTTGAAGCCCATTTTTCCAACTAGGTCAAACCTGCAACAACGACTTCATCAAATTTATCAAACATAGCTTTTAGTTTTCCAGTTCGCAAATAGAGTTAGATTTTCATTTTAATTCAAACCTCACAAGAATTTTCTCAGCCGTCTGAAGTACTTTAACTTCAGTCATTCATCATTACTTCACTTTTCCATATTTACGACTTATGAACCAAAGCTTTTGAGTGTACTGGTTCAATGTTTTCTTTATTATACCGATTCACATCTATGGAATGATTACCACTGTAAATATCCGGCATTTTATCAATCATATCGGTATGAAAGCACTTTTAGCGAAAATGTCTTTTCATTGTGAGCGACTTTGCGAAATTAAAGAAAGGGCATGCCTGAATAAAGTATTATCATCGTAAAGGCCTCCCCGAAGATGAGATCCACAACTACCATCCAAGTAAGTAACAAAATCGACTATTTTCTTAGGAAATGCTTCGAATTCGGCATCTAATTCTTGCTCTTGTTTTAACAATTCATATTCCGATCGCCGAAGTGACAGCATATATATGAATAAAGGATCATCATCTCGTGATATGCAAAATATAAATTCCTGAAAAAAGATGTAAGCAATTTTTATGAACTCTTATCGAAGTATATAACAAAAAGCTGCCATGACCACTACACCAATTTCTTCAACTTGAAATAACTTGAAATATATTCCAATCCGGCCAAATCAAATTAAACGGTCGGACAACATTCCCATGACCGGTCGGACAGCATTCGACATAATCAGCGATAAGCATTTGGCCTTTGTTCCAGAATGACCGTTCACAAAAATTTTGAGAACTCCAACCTTTTCTGATCGATTCTGTCGTTCATCTATTTTCAAATTCAAGATTATGCGACTGAAAGAAAACGAAGAATTGGAAGGCGTGTAGAAAAAATACAACTGCTCAAATGATTGGCTTTCAAACACCAAATACGATGGGTAGCATTTCAACTTTCAAGAAAAAATATTACACATATTACTGTTGAAGTAATCAGTCCTGCAGGAAATTTAAAAGAATACTTCAATATTTGAGAATTTTCGATCCATCTTCCTCTGTAAAGGAGGGTTTATTCTCTGCCATTCCGATCAAATCCAACATATCTTATAAGATATGTATATTCTTCACTTCACTGATTTTAACTTTCAAATGGCATTCTCTCTTACTTATATGGTTCGTGAACAAATATATATAAGAAACTTTAGTAGCAAGCTGAAAGTTATATCATCGCTAATGTTACTATAGCACACTATATTTCTATATTAAAACAAATGTAATAGACATCAAACCTTTTACTAGTTGTTTGGCCATTTGTGTCAGTGCAGTAAACAGCGATATTTTCGTGGAATAATGTTTGAACCATCCCAATTTTTCTATAATTTTATTTCATAAAATACAAAATTTCGCGAGGAACAATAGTTGAATTCAGTCATGCGAACACATCACAACAATGATGATATACTGAATTAAAGCGAAATTTTAGATGACATTTTAAATGGCCAATAAGGATATAAAGCGTTGAAATTAACGATAGCATTAGATACAAGTTTTCATACATATCACGACAAAAGATATTGTCGAAAGCAGTTTATTTCTTGTATTATTTATCATGATGTTTCTTGAAGAAATTATGATGATAGCGAGGAAGAAATGGACACAGAAACAAAAAAATCAATATTAAAAACATTCTTGAAATATACATTCTTCTATGATTTGTATTATCGTAATATAGGATTAAGATACACAAAGCTTAGACCAAAACGAAATTAAAGTAATTCTCACTCATTTTTATTTTAACCTATTGTGGCCAAACTTTTTGATTTATCAAGATTGGAAAACTAGCGGAAAACGATAATTACGCATCATCAATGCCCATACGTTGAAGAATAGCATTTGCTAAAGTTGAATAATCAGGCCCCGCAAATAGTTTACGTTTGAATATCTCGGGAGATCTGATAATTTCTGCTAGGTCGTTTGGTTTAGTGCAGAAAATATGACCTAATTCATATAAGCGTTCGGCAAGTTCCCATTGATGATTATCCATCAACTCTTCATTGACCACTACTACGAATGGTTTCTTACATCGTAGAACTTCAAGACACGTTCCAGCACCAGCATGTCCAATTATCAAATCTGCTGCTGTGATATCTTGTAAAATGTCATCTTTGTAACAATAGTAATCGATATTTATACCACAACGGTTGCCTTTCTCAAGCTCTACTTTACCTCTGCCCATTTGTATGAGTAAATCGGTGATACCAATTTTATTTAATGATTCCAAACATTTCTGTTTAACTATGGCATGTATTAGCGCATCGAATTCTGTACTTCCAACTGTAACAAAACAACGCATTTTCAGTCGAAAATTCAGAATGTGCAATCTGATTTCGGTTAAAGATTTAATGCTTTACTAAACCCATATAATAATAAGCACTTGGTCGAAGCCAACTATCACGTTTTTCTTGTTTCAAACGTTCCCGAATAACAGCTAGACGAAATTGTAACGCTTCTTCTTCAAATGATTCTTTAATTTCTACTAGCTTCTCTGCTTCTGCAGCTTCGGAAAACACGCGATCGGTGGGATCCTTGTAAACTTCACAACGTGCCGCTATCCGACGAACTGCCGAATCTACGTCTCCCCACGTTTTTGTCAAATCATGAGGATCGGACATCAAAAGTGAACTAATTCGTCAGGAAGAACTTCCTGAAGTTATTAAATAATTTAGAAAAACGATAAACATGAAAAAGTGCATAAATAATATCTATGAAGCTTTTTCTGAGCTATAATCTATCGTACGGCCATTGGAAGAGAACCAATTAATGACAAAACAAAAAGCAATAATCTTGACTACTAACACACGTCAAAAGATGTTACACATTTAAAACTCTTGATGTTAGTTCTTTTTAGCCTTGACTAGTATGTTTTCTGTGGATAGAAAAACAAAGGCAACCATATTTTTCTTTTTTAATCGTTTATGAGTAATTTATACAAATCAAATCAGATTAATTTTGTAACCTTTCGACTATTAATGTGATTACAGTGTCAAAGAAAAATACTAAATAATATAAACACATAGTCCATCAATATATTATGTTTAACAATTAAAAAAATGAATATGTTGGATTTTCATGAATTTTCCATTGTGTGCAGAAAAATGAAAAAGGTATGATCAAACTTAATGAAATAACCCCGAGACAAAAATTATGTTAAACTGCATTTTGAAAAAGCGAATGGATGGATAAGGAATACAAAATATTCGCATTTGCTAAGTTTGGATTACGCCACCTATGTGAACTATGTAATAGATATATACATATATATATATAACAAACAGTGTCAAACAAACAATTAATTCATTAGGTCTCGGTTATGTAGTTTATATCAATAAGCTATACATGTATGTGTACAAATTATATTAGCTATACATTTTGTTATGTTTGAATAACTGCATAAAGAAACGAAAAGGAATAGAAAAAAGAAAATAATTCTACCAAAGCAAATAAATTCAAAATCTGATTGCTAATATTAGAAAAACACATCCCATTAAACTTACTGGCTCATTAAACGATAAAATGCATAGACATCATATCGATTTACCCAACAAATAAGAATGCAGAGAATAGTGCTGCCATAAATTAGCGTAATCCTGCAAAGAAGTGGGAAATTAAAATTTGTAGTTTTTGATGTAAAGTGTATGATGTTCCTTCAATATTTTCATTCCCTTACGGATTAAATTTTGCTATGAAATGGGTAAGCCTTATTTACTATCCTATTCTATACTAAAAATGGTATATTCAGTTATTCAAATTTCTATGAATGTATATTATGAATTTACTTGCTGGCATTTGACAGAACAATTGACAATGATATGTGACTTTTAGCGTCGATCTGTGTGCTATATGTTAAGATTTTCATGACCCAGTAACTTTCTAGCAATAAACGAATTCGCAACAAGAAATGGCTGTATCCGTGATGTATGAGATATTCGAAAATTCAAGCCTCTTATGACTCAAAAACACTTTGATTAAAATAAGAAACGTCCTTTATCGATGTCGCTTTAATTTGATGCAGCATATCCGTCGAATTTCTATGAGGGAGGAGGTAATCCTTAAAGGTATCATTGTAATCAAAAGGATGATTGGAATGGAGGAATATTGAAGATTGGTATTAAATGTCTTGCAAGAAGGCGAATGAGCGACTTTTTCTTCGAAGAATAAAATATGACTTAATTTTGATAGAAACAATCATTGTGACGTTAAGAAGTGAAATAATGTGTGTAAAAACTATATTGGTGTTATATATGCAAATTTTATCTTAACATGTATCATTTTTTTGAATGATGCATCATTTTCATCGTTTTCCCAAGTATTCGTATCTCGACGTATCATCTTAATCTGAAAATGAAAAATCTGACATTAGGTGAATTTGACCGATTGATCAACTTTGATCAACAGCAGTTATCATCTGTTGTTGATGCAATCAATAGAATCGAATTGTAAAACGGGAAAGATCATTTAGCAAAAACTGCAATGAAATTCCTATTCGCACGTGAAAATTACTAACAGTTTTGCTTGATCGGAGTGATAACAGTGAAATTCCTTAAACTACAGCGACAGGCCGCAGCTAAGACCAGAAATAAGGCATTTCAGTGATTAAAGATGGCAGAAAAAGAATTATTTTGTCATGTATACTTTGTGAAGCTTTTTCACTGCCTTAAATTAGTAAAACAGTACTTCCTCAGAATGATGAATGAGGGAGAAAGGCATCCTTTGCTATAAGATTTTTACAATCTTTTCAAATTACTTGCGCATTTTTCTTGGGAATGAAAATGAAAAAATAATCTCACTCGTCTATAATTTGATGCTGTTCAACGACAACTTCCCACCTATATTTCATAAATGCTGTGAAAGTTCTCATAAGTAGTTCAGACTAAAGCAGAAATGTTTTGAACTACTGAAAGTCTATGAATATCTCAATATTTGATAAGAACTATTATTAAATTTTTCCATTTCTGTTCTACAACTTGATTTTTCTTATCAGAGTAGCGATAAATAATAACCAAAGAATAGAGTAAAGTTAAGTTGATCGGTTAAAAGAATCAAATTCAAGTAATATTTGATTTTACATTTTTCAAAAATAGACCAATAATATTTTAAGAAATTAGTTAGGATGAGACCACTTGATATTTGATAATTTTTTTCTTCTGACATTTGCTTATATAATCATCAGTTTTGTTTATCCATTGCAGTAAACAAAATCACATAACATATAAAATAATAATGTTATTCGATTATTTTTGTTGGAAACAATTATTGCGTCAGTAAAAAGATGGTGAGAATGTATGCAAAATCACATTGCCTTTTTACATACGTGAATTCCCGTTGAAAGGACGTTGGGATCAGATTAATGTCTTGTCACTTTTATCATAATCCTTCAGAATAACAGGTCTTTTGTACATCATTTCCCATAGGTGATCACATCTCTTTCGATGTATTATTATCTTAGGCCAAAGGAGTAAAATAGACATTGGGTGGATTTGATTCTTCATTTGATCAACTTTGTTTTATATCATCTATTAATGAATAGAATCGAATGGACAGGAGGTTTATTTAATAATAAATTTTCTTGAACTCAACAATCATACTTTATAGAGTTTCTTGTTAACAATGACTGACAATAAAGCTTATGTGAAGCTAATTAAACATGAAACTCACACTTAATGTAACGCCTTGAAACTACCTGTCCATTGAAGACAAGCAGTTCTGATTGTGCTGAGCGACGATAATAAAATTACCTAAACCTTGACGACAGTCTGCAGCATAAAAATGCTTTGAAAGATCAGACGTTTCAACTTCTAAAAGAGGAGTAAAGGAAGAAATTGTTTCGTCATGTTTTACGTAGCTTTCGCGACATTGAGAACTTTGTCATCCTCACGAAATTAAGAATTTTAGTGGTGTCGTGATATCAAGAACTAGTAGTAGAGGACTGACAGTTTACTCATGATAAGACTAGCTCAATTAATGAATTTTAATTCGATATTTTTATTTCCAGTTGAAACTAAAAGGTTGGCATTTCTATTCCTAACCACCTGATTGCAAGAATGGATTGCAAGAACAAGTATCCCACATATGATGGTTTTATTTTCCGTCATTCTTACTCTTATGCTTTTTGCGGTGGTGGCACTACTAAAGTTCTTTTCACATACGCAATTTCATCGTATGAGACCTCCTGACTAGCTTGATCGACAGCTTTAATAAGTATCCCACATATGATATATTTTAATAATCAGCTTAAGATTTATTACACATAGCAGTGTGACCTCAGAACTCTAAGCTGCGCAATTTTCAGCTAGACAGACGCCACATAGCTGATTATTGGATTGCTACTTATTGTATGAAAAAAATAGTCCTATTCATTTGGCGTGATAGCACGAACACACAATGGACCCTCTTTGTACTTCCGTAATGTCCGCTATTTTTAACAAATGCATATTGCAAAAGCCTGATAAATTAGAATACAACGGCGTAATTATGTATGCGTTTATTAAATCATGGAAGGCAAGAGAAACAAGGATAATGGAATAGATAAAAAGGATCATAAAAACAATAAATCAATTTCTGCAATAACTTATTCAGTCTATGCAACAACATTCTTCCAACAATACCAACAGTAACCGTGAATACCAGAGAAGTAGAAAGCAATATCGATCTTAAAAAGCTCACTATTTCAGCAGCCTCAAAAACTGATTAAAACGAGAAACTAAATTTCAAATGTATAATATTCATGGAGCGCAGCGACCAACGAAGCGCGGATAAAGACACACATCACGAATGTGATGAGTGTTCGTTAACCAACAAATAAAGCGCTCTAAGCCAAGTCCATAGCCACCATGTGGACATGTGCCATATAAACGCTGATCCAAGTACCAATAGTACGGTTCCCGATCAATTTTCACATTTTCAAAAGCTTTCGAAAGCTCATCGAACTAAAACACGTGAATTATAAAAAAAATGAAGAGGCAAATTTTGGAAAATTCCTTCTACTGAAATGTGGAAATTAAAATTTTGAGGGACATACCTTCCAAATTCTCATACTGCCACCAACAATTTCACCAACGCCAGGCATAAGAAGATCAACAGACTCTGTTAATCTACTATCTTGCGCATCCCGCTGCATATAAAATGCCTTAATTTCGCTTGGGAAACGGTTCAGTAGAATTGGCTACAAAATTTAAAAACAGAAATGAAAATTAAGATAAAAATTATCTTTGTTATTTCGAATCTCTGGAATTCATAAACCCATTTAAAACATACAGTTTCCTATACTATGTTCGCTGTAGCTAACAAAAATGAATAGCTGATTTTTTATATTAGAATCCAGCATTAAAGTGAATCTTTTGAAACCATTTATAAATTCCAATCCTAAATATTAGCATTCAATGTAATGTGCCCGAAAATAATCTCGCAAATGTTTACCTTGCTAATAGTATCAGTCATGAAACGTTCGGCAGCCTCAGCAATATCATCACCATAACTAAAATTTTTACCAAACTCATTCTGAACACCGTGTTCTTGTAACCATTTGATAGCATCTTTATACTCCATTCTTAAGAATGGCCGTTTAGGCGGTTTGAAATTCTAAAAGGAATGACAAAAGACAATAATGATTAAAAGGTGGCAGCGCTAAAATATTAATGAATGACAACTTCTGGTATTATACTGAATAAAGTATGGTCTTAATCATAAGGTTTTATCATTAGAATGATCATTGATTTCCGCAGGAAAATCAGTAAATTTTGATTCCTAAGCACATAAACAAGAATTTGAAGGAAGTGAAAATAAAAACTAGAGAGACAAAGAAAAATCTACACATATTGAGAACTTTTAAGTTTCTCCAGACTTATTATTACAGAATTAATTTTTGAGCATACAAACAAGAATTCAAAAAGCAAAAATTTGAAAATATTGATTATAAGCCCAAAAAATCAAGTAATGAAAAAAAAACTGACAGGATTAATATGTTCCAATAGTTTTCTTGCTTCTTCATCAGCCAGAAGTCGACTAACTGTATCGCAAACCAGTTCTTCAATTTTCGTCATTAAATCATCCAGCGTTATAAAGGGGCATTCGGCTTCAACGTGTGCATACTCCGCCAAGTGTCGACGAGTACGAGATTTTTCTGCTCTTAAAAAAATCATTTTCCATAATAAAAATGATAAAACTATTCAAAGAACCAAATACCATCCACATGTAATTGTTTAAATACATATATCATTTTCACTAAGTTCTTAATTACTAACTCGTAACCGTCCCAATGCTTTGCTAATCATTTAACTCTGAAACATTTCGGAGCATGATGACTACGCATCAGTTGGAGCTGCATTATAACGCGGCATATAAAAATGTGTCTCATAATTTTATATTTTCTAAAACTTTCCCGGACAAAAAAATGAATGATTCATACAAACCTGTAAGACTGAGCAATGCAGAAGACATCACCAAGAGTGGGAATGCAAGTTTCGAGATAAAGCTGTGACGACTGTGTAAGATAACATTGTTCACCAAAATAATTAAGTTCGAATAATGTCGACCCACCTTCCACCTGAGAAAACTTCTTAATCATTTCATCAGAGCATATAATATCAGAAGTTGGAAAAGTTTTCACTATTCATCAAACACATAACCTGCGTTTGAACTAAAGTCGGTGGAGCAACTTCGACATAGCCGGCATTATAGAAATGTTCTCGCATTGCTCGAGTAGCAGCTGCTCTTAAACGTAGCAAAGCAGCAGCATTTTCACCTCGAATGACCAAATGTCTATTGTCCAACATCTTGTCCACACCTGCTTCTTCGTTTAGTACATTATCAATACCTGCAATGACTTACTGAATTTGGATTTTCTTTCTTATTTCTATTAATAAATAACGATCCAATTACCAACATGTGAAATAAGTTAACTGTACATCAGTGTATGGTAAACTATTCAGACCAAATCTCATATTCCTTATACCTGATCAAATCCAACAGTATAATACATGTAACCGAACGCGCCTAAGAATAGTTCTTATAATATCCGTCAAATTCCTCTTCACAAATATATTTTCTAAGTGCTTTCAGAGATTCACCGAAAATCCCTATTTCATTATTGGAAAGTTCTACGATCACCAGAAAATAATCGTTTGGGAAACCTACAGTGTAAAACGTGTATCTACAACTACATTACTTAATAATGCTTTTGTTTAGAGCAGTTATGTGAAAAAGTTTCAGTCATTCTATTTTAAAAATCTACGAATTCTTTGGATTCGAATCACGATTCAATAAAATTAAACAAGTGAATGGAACAAAGTGAATGAAATAATACCTCCAGGAGGTGCGTTTCCTATTACTTTCCAGAAATCGGCTACTAACTCGTGCCCATTCGGTGCTTCTTTGCCTTCCGGAACTTCCTTTACTACACCATAAATTTCAACCGTGCTTTCGGTATTCACAGTGAGAGCTTCATACGTTTGACACTTGATAAAGTTATATTACTTTGTAAAATGGCACTTCATATAATCACCAACTTACTATCATTCCTTGGTAATTATTAAAATCTATCAAACTTAAAAAGTAAAGCATGAGAATTTAGAACCTTGTGTTTTTCAGAAACAATACAATAAAAAATAGCTTACCAACTTATCCGTAAGCACTGCTTGAAGGAAACCAGTTCCATCTCGAAGAACGAAAAACATCAACGACTTCCCTAGAAGTAAGAAAAATGTATTAAATTTGAATTAACGAAGGAAGACGCGAAAAAACATCCACAGCAATCTACACTTCTGAAAATTAGTTGAATGTAGAGTAAAATTACAATCAATTTAAAAACAAGTGACGCAAAAATGTGAATTCTGAAGAACAACTAGTTGTGATAATCAAGATGAAAATTTTTAAATGTTAATTGTGATAATTCTAGAATACCTTGTCGACGCATTCGATGAACCCATCCTTTAATACAAACACGTTCATTGCGATGCTTAATAAGATCACGAATTTTCAGATCTGTGAGACATGATAGACTTGTGTCTCGTTCTATTTGCACCTTTTTCGCTTCTTCAAGAGCTGCTGTTGCCCCCTCTTCTACTGCATTCTTCTCAAACATCCAAAAGATTATGTAAAAACAATGCCAATACGATATCGCTCCCGACTAAACGTTTACCATATCTATCTAGGCGCTTACTGTATCTATTTTTTAATTCAAATTTAATTTATATATCTATCTTTTAATTTATTTTTCATGGTTAAATTTAATTACGTGTATATTGTAGGTACCTCGCTGTTCCTTTTAACAACCAAGCTACTGAACTCATTTTCCAGGAAACAAACATCACCTTCGCAGCAACTTTTTTGTTCTTCAACATTTCTTGCTCGTAACGCTTCTGATTTTTCTTCATTGCCGTCTTTGAAGCAGCTTCCCATATCTGTTTGCCATCTTTCGTTGTTCTAACTAAGAAGTCACCTTTCGAAGATTTGGTAATTATCATCGCTTGAAAAAGCGTCCTGCAGTTCACATATTCCATATTTTCTCATATATTTCCAACACCGAAATATTAATTGAATGCAAAAAATTGCAAAGATTCTGTAACTTGACACAGTCTTTTTCTTTTAGCTTCAAGCCCTTTATTTTGAGCTTTCAATCTAAAAAATAACCAAACGAAAGTGCAAAAATCACCTTAAAGGTTTCAATTCACTGCCATCATTACCATCATCTCCAGTTTCCGGGCAGATGTAAACGGTCATCACGCAACCTACTTCTATTAATTGCCTGAAAACAAATAAGTAATTATTTAATAGCACTGGTTCGAAGAGCAATGAAGCTATCTGTAGTGTTCACTTCCATTTCACATTTCAATAAGCTATCATCGCAAATTATACACAGACCGTCTCTCTTTCTCTCCTCTTCTCTCCTCATGAAAACTTTCCTGGTAATAGTATAGTTAGAATGACTTGTTTTGTAGCTACCACTCTCAATATATATATTGAGATATATATATATATATGCAAGCCTACAGATGCCCTTCGAAAGCCTCTATCGCATGAAAACTCTAACACGCAGCACGAACAACAGACAGGAGAGAAATTTGTGAAGACGAATAATCTCTCTACAGACCAAATCAATCAAAGTATTTAAATGATATCATTACCATTGGTAGCAAAACCAGGCGGTATGATATGCAGATTGCAATCCCTTTAATGTAATTGTACCATTGGTATGCAGTGTATTGGAGAGGAATAAAATCGTAGCTACTAATTCCATTTTGTTCAAAAAAATTAAGCGTAAGTGTAAAGAGCGTAAGAAAAATTTTGAATTTAAAATAGCTTATATGTGAAAAATATTACCAATTCAATTTTCTTACCCATAATATACCACCGAATTCATTCTACCATATTATTCACTAAAAATTTTATCAAAGAACAAGAATTGATTAATTCGATTGATCTTTCATCTCTTTGTCACAGCCGTATTTTGCTTATTTGGATAGACGATTGAAAAAGATGATAACATCAACTGTATGCAATATTAATTCATTCGTGAAACTTATGGAATGACATTGGAATCACTTATTTCATTTTTCAGTCTTTCTTTAGTATTACTTAATAATCGAATAAGATTTAAAGTTATTAGTGATATAATTAAATTTGATCATTTAATTGACATAATATATTTTATTCCTATTACAAAAAATTCGATTAAACTCATGACGTTTCAGTTTTTCAGGCAATTTATCTCATTATATTTATAATGAAAATAATAATAAAGGAAGGAAGAAAAAAGCATCTTATTGAGCAAGTTTAAATAGTCAATCCCTTGGTGACATCTTTTTCTAGCAGAAACTTGTTGACATCATCCGATGCTACTTCAGCCTATATATAAGTTGACGGGATTTTTGCATTGTGCGATTTTCCGTTAGCTTATGATTGAAGTGTTATTTAGCTTTTGCACTGGATTATCGAAAGCATATAGTATCAAAGGATATCAAAAGATAAAACAGATGAACAACGATTATGTTAATAAAAATGAAGCATAATTTGCATATTAATTTTAACGATGATCTGAAAAAAAAATATTTGTGATTTGTCATATAATATCCAATAAATTATGCGTATTTTATTTTTAATTATTAGTATTTCAATGCCGTAAGATTGCAATATTTATTCATTAATATATTCAATTCATAGATTAATGGCATTTGTTTGGAGAATTTTTCGAATATAATACAATAAATTTTTAGACTTAAATTAATAGCATAAATTTGAATTATAGAATAGATTAGAAGAAGTAAATGCAAATTAATATTTCTGCTAAAATGATAAGAGGAAAAGTTAAATTTGTGGTACTTATTAATATCTCATAAAATATTAGGATAGTATTATTAGCATTTGTGTTATAATTTCTGGAAAATTATTCTTCATTCTTTCCTTTTTTTCCTTTTTTCATCACAAACTTTCAGGTCATTTCGTCATATTTTAATTATTCTTTTTTCATTACTTTACACTGAAATGAATTATTTGAATTAAATATTTAATAAGTAAGCGCTAAAAAAATGCATATTAAACTTCATTTTGTGAAAAAATTAATTTATAACAGATTTCAGCTATTGGTGGATGAATTGCGTGAAAGTTTATGATCATTCATTGTCTTCATATTTCATAAAGTTAGTTTTAAATACAGAAGATTCATTTAATATAGATGCCTATGAGATTTAGCTAAATGTGTCAATATTTCTTTCCAGCATTTCAAATAAAGATTAAAATAGAATATGGAAAAATGGCAAAAAAAAGAGAAATGAAATGAGGAGAGAGAGAGAGAGAGAGTGGAAAAAATGAAGGAAAGGATATAAATGATAATTATCACTTCATGAAACTAACAAAACGATTTTGGTTATTGAATAGAAGAGGAAGTTATAGTTGAACACTCATTAATTTAACTTTCTTTAGCTGACGAAGATTAGACGAATGACTCATACATAGTCTCTTCTTTAGCAAGAATATGGTGATATCATTTTATTTTAGTTACTTTAACACGTAAATTGACGGGGTTTTTGTATTGGGGAATTTTCTCTTAGAATGTAATAGGAAATTTACTTCCCTTCTACACTATATTATAATCCACTTTCATAAGCATATAATGCTTATTAAAGGATAAATATACTAATATTTATTATATCACTGCCTAATTTGAAAGTATTGCCCAATTTGCACAAAAATTTTAAAAGTATTGCCTAATTTGCATAATCCACACTTTCTCTCTATTTCCATTTTCCTTTCTCTCTCCCTTCCCCCCGTTATTCTCCCTTAATTTCTATTGAAATGTATTTTCTTCTCTTTATTTCCATACTTTCATTTCTTTTTTCTTTTGTTCGTGTATGTCTGTGTATGTACGAGTTTGTGTATGTGTGTGTTGTGTATGTGTATGTGTATGTGTGTGTATGTGTGTATGTCACATAACCCTAATTATCCATTGTCAGTCGCTCAGAATCGACAATATGTGACAAAGATTGTATGATTTCATTTTTATTAACCCCTCATAAACTTGCAGAATTGAAGAATTTTTCTCACAATGTTCATTTCCAATAATTTTATACTTTTAAAATAATTCCAAAGTTAAGGCAATTCATATACTTCCAACAAGCGTTATATGCGTCAACGATATATAGTATTATTATTATTATTATTATTATTATTATTATTATTATTATTATTATTATTATTATTTTATTATTTATTATTATTACTGCTTATTATTAATTATTATTATTATTATTATTATTTTATTATTTATTATTATTATTTATTATTATTATTACTGTTTATTATTATTTATTATTATTTATTGTTAATTATTATTATTTATTATTAATTACTATT